TTATTCTGTATTAAAAGTTGTACAAATACAATATTGTAGAAAGAAAACATACAGTAGTTGCATATGCTATAATATCGTATTTATATATAATATTAGCCTTATTTAGCATAGTAGTTTTGATAACAATGGAAGAGAAGGGGGGGGGGGGGGGGGGGGGGCAAGGGAAAAAGCAAGAGGGGGATTTTTTGTGATTTTCTGCTCGATGGTTTGAGCTTGGTGAGGGGGTTTTTATGTTCCCAGTGTGTATTTTACTACGTTATGAAATGTTTGAGTTTCAACCATTGCTGTTCCATAAGTTCAGGTTTTTTTCTTCTTTGGCTGATTCTTTCTTCTATTTTTTTCTCTGTTTTTAGGAAGTTTTGCCAGCCTATCATATTAGGTCTCCTTATTTTCCTTTTACATGTGTTTAGGAATATCTTTTGTTTCAGGAATAGATGTTCGTTTTCTGTTTTTCCATCTCCGAAAAGGAATGTCTCAATTGTGGGTACATCTTCGTCAAGTTGGTTGAAAGATGTTATTAGGAAGTCTTGTACGGCCTCACAATGGTATATTCCATGTTCTAAAGTATCTATGTCACTACGGCATAGACTGCATATATCAGTGTTATAGCCGTCTATGTTCATTTGTTTTAGTTGTTTGTTATAATATAGTATCCGGAAGAATATTTTTATTTGGAAATATTTCTCTTTTGTCCTGAGAATATTTTTTCTATTTTTGTGGATTTTGGCCCACATCAAAGGATTTTGTAGTTGCAGTTTGTTTTGCCACTTATCTTCCATCTTCTTTGGCAGTTTCACAGCATTGTTCTTTTTTAGTAAAATCTTGTAAACTTCTTTATTGTTTGTCTTTTTTAACCATTCTGTGTTAATTGTGACATTCGGATTCTCGGTTTCTTCTTCATTTTCTCTCGGGTGTCTTAATTTTCTTTTCCAATTTTGGGGGATGGCTGTAATCATACTGTTATATTTCAAAGTATTCCTTTGGTTCATAACAATATCATATTTATGGCCTAATTCTGCTGCTGTGAGGAATCTATTTTCGTCCTGGATGTCTTTTATAAATTCAATACCTTTTTGTATCCATACTTCGTTTTTCATGATTTCTCCATTGATTTTTATCTGTTCATTGTGCCATAATGATTGTTGCTCTGGGTTTCTCGTATCCGGAATTGTTTGATATTTCAGACTGCACCAATTTTTGTAGACTGTCTTCAGGTACCTTAAGTCTAAAACATTTATTTTGTCACTATTTTTTGAAAGGTTCAATGCCCATACTTCTCCCTGCGTCAGGTTCTTCAGGTAGTAGTTCCATATCTTCTTCCATTTGCCACTATATGTAGGGTCTATATATTTCTTTATCCATTTGATGCTTAGGTTTTTTATGTATGATTGTAAGTGGAGCATGTTTAGGCCACCTCTCTCTTGTTCGTTCATCATTATCTTTCTTCCAATTTTGTCTGGCTTCTCATCCCATATAAAGTTGAAAAACATGTTTTCTATTTCTTTGATAAAGTCATCTGTTGGTGTGAGCACTGAACATAGATATGTCAGCTGAGATACGAGGAGTGATTTTATCATTATTATTTTTCCTAGAGGTGTGATGTTTCTACTTTTCCATGCTCTAATAAGACCTTGAATTTTGTTTCTTTTCTCTGGGAAATTTAAACTGTTTATGTCTCTTCCATCTAAAGGAATGGTTATACCAAGGACTTTTATATCTTTATCTTGGTATTTTAGCCCTGATGCCATGCTTTCATCTCTTACTTGTTGCTGTAATAGTGCATTTTCTCTGCCTATCACGGCTTCTTCTGTTTTGTGGAGATTGATGTTCAGTCCTGAGATTTCTCCAAAATTTCTGAACTTTTTAATTACTTTTTTCGCAGATGCAATATTTCTTACAAAGACTGAGGTATCATCGGCGTATTGTGAAATCTTTACTTCTCCATCTGGTATTTGTATGCCTTCAATTTCTTCATCTCTTCTGATTGATTCACTCAATATTTCGGCACATAGAATAAATAAATACGGACTTAGGGGGCATCCCTGTCGTACTCCTCTGTTCAGGTTAAAGTAGCGTGATGTATACCCGTTATTTATTACTGAGCTTTTTGCATCGTTGTATATGGTTTTGATCCATTTTCTAAAGTCTGGTCCAAAATTGAAGTAATCTAGCGTCCGATCAATAAATTTCCATTCCACTGTGTCAAAAGCTTTTTCAAAGTCGATGAAAAGCATTATGCCAGATTCATTGTTTGATTTAAGGTGTTCCATACAGTCTATTATGAGTCTAATATTCTCTGATATATTTCTCCCTTTAATAAAACCTGTTTGGTCTTCGTTAATTATTTTTGTTAAATGGGCTTTCATTCTTTCTGCTAGACATCCTGTAATTATTTTGTAGTCTGTGTTTAGCAATGATATTGGTCGCCAATTTAATAGGCGTAAAATGTCACGGTCTTTTTTAGGTAGTTGGGTTATAATGCTTCTTTTTTTGTTCGGTTGATAATTCTTCTTTATCCAATGCTTCCTTGTAGCTTTTTACCAGTATTGGCACAACTGGTTCTTGGAAACATCTATAAAATTCGCTTGTTAAGCCGTCGCTGCCTGGTGACTTCCCGGTCTTCAGGGACTTAATCTGTGTTGTTATTTCTTCTAAGGTAATATAGCCCTCGCAGCTCTGTTTTTCCTCTTCTGTGAGACTGGTGATTGATTTTATAGCAGGGAAGAATGTTTCTGAGTGCTGCCTAATGTTTGGGAGCCTGCTTCTGTACAGTTCTTCATAGAACCTTGCACTTTCTTTCCTTATTTCTTCAGGATCATTTAGTTCCCTGCCATCGTCTGTATTCAGTTGTGTGATGTTCTTTTTTGCAAAATTTCTTTTTTCTAACTTCAGGAAGTAACTAGATTGTTTTTCACCTTCTTCCGCCCATCTTATTTTTGCTCGAAGTATTGCGCCCTTTGCTTTTTCATCATTCATCTCTTCTATCTCTCTTTGGAGTTGTTGTTCTTCTTCTCGTAGCTGTGTTTCATGGATGTAGTTATCTCTTAGGTTTGCCTCTATTTCTTGTAGCCGTCTTATTTTGTTGGTGATATCTAGGTGTTTTCCAGCGTTTTTTTGCTTTGAGTACCTAATGGACTCTGTTTTGATTTTGAATTTTATGAGTTCCCATAAATTTTGAGCAGTCATGTCCTTGTGCTCTTCAACCAAACCTTTGATTAGGTTTTTTATCAAAGCTACATATTCTCTATCTTCTGTTAACCTTGCATTGAATTTCCACAGTCCCGGGCCACGCTCTTGAGTGCCCATCCTTAGTTGCAATTGAACAAATTGGTGGTCAGCTATTTTGTAGGATTTTGGAGTGTGAATGTCTACGTCACTGGTATTGTTGATTAGTGGAGAGGCTATAAGGAAATAATCTAATCTGGATTTTGTAGTGGTAGCGGCATTTGACCAGGTGAAATTTCTTTTTGTAGGGTTATTTACTCTCCATATGTCCACAAGATCATGTTCCTCCATTAGCTGCTTTATCTGCTGTCTTGTGTTTCTATGTGCATCCTGGTTGGTATTGCCTGTTTGGCTTTCTTTATCTTTGTTTGGCTCTAGGGGCACGTTGAAATCTCCTCCTATTATAATAGAATAATGATTACGCCCTTCTCTCAGTTTTTTTGCGATATTGTTGAAAAGATTATTGTTGTCATTGTTATGTCCATATATGTTCACTAAGGTTATTTCCTTTCCTTCTATTTTAGTATTTATTATTATGTATCTTCCATCTTCTCCGATGTCGCTGTCTTCAATTTGGATGTCTGCCTTATGAGAGAATAGTATACCAACTCCGACTGAATTTGTGGCCCTTTCTGTAAAATATGATGTCATGCCCCATTCATTTTCCCATTGTTTTGCTTGTTTCATGCCGCAGTGGGTCTCTTGTATGAGTAGAACGTCATAATTTTCGTTCCGAGCGTGTAAGAAGAGTTTTCTTCTTTTTACCTGGTCTTGCAAGCCCCTCACATTAATGGTACCTATTTTAACCACCATCGTCCTTGTATTTGTATATAGGCCCTCTTGCAATTACCCCTGCCCCCTTTTTTGTATACATAATAGCTCTAATGTCTTTTATTTGACACTTTTCTATGTTTTTAAGGCACTTAGGAAAATGCCTCATTTTTTTTTAAAAAAAAAGATAGAAATACAAAAGTTGCAAAGAATGAGAAGATTGAGGAGAAATTGACAAATCAACCTGAAAAGTTAATCGGTCAATTTTCATGTTGGATTGAGACTTCTTGGGTACTCCTTGAAAATTATTTTCTTGTGCGATTGAAACGGAGTTGAGGTTTGCTTTTTAGACTTTGATTGTGCTATAGGCTGTGGTTTACATTAACTCCGATACTATTAGCCTAAAAATAAATAAAAAATTGATCTAGCCTACAGTCACAGTGACCTGAAAAAGGAAACTGTTTTTTGAAAAAGCGAAGATAATTTTACCTTGGAATTGTCAGTGTTTATCCCTCTTTGTATTGTCTAGGACTGGGGGTTGAATACATGAAGCGCTAGGTAAAGCCGGCCTCTCGCGTGTTATTATCGCAAACTTCTTATGATTAGGTTGAAAAGTTGAGTATTTGCTGGAATTATATGATTTTTGAATTTTTCTTTTCCGCTGACGTCGTTGAGGAAGGTAATTCATTTTGATTGGTTGAGCCAGCGTTATGCGCGCGCAGCGTATCGATTACCTAGTAACGGCTTTATTGATAAACAAATATGTGTGTTTTTACCTTGGAATGCTAATTACTTCCTTGTTTTTGTTTCATGTTTTCAACCCCTTCGTCCTCTATTTTTGTGAAGAGAAAATATCATAATTTACTTTCTCGATAAAACTGATAATATTAGCGTAATATAAGTTTCTGTTGACTTATGAGGGGAGTTATTTAGTGTGGAAATTAACGGGTTTTGATACTGTATTTTTGTCTGACGGTAAAACATTTTCTCAGGGTTGTTGTCTCTTAATCGTCTTTGAGTGTGGCCCTGGGCTGTTTTTCATCCCTGTTTCTGGTCTTGCTTAGCGCTTCTGTGTAGATGGCATCCAGGTTTACTTTCTTTCCGTCGATCCATAGATGCAAGCCTGCCCATCTGTACTTTTTCTGGCCCTCTTTTGCAGGTTTAATATACGTTTTGAAGGCTTGACTTTTTATATTGCGTGCTTCTTCCGGCAGGTCTTCACCGATTTTACTTTTTATAGGTGGTTTTTTAACCCACGCCTTTGATCTGATTTGTTCAGCCGTTGGTGCATCTGCAAGTTGTACTATCAATGGTCTAGCTTTAGTTTTAATTTGTTGTTGTTCTAAGCGTCCGATTCTGTACGCATTCAGCACCCGGACGGGACAGAGTTTTGTTAACTCAGTTTCTGCCGCTTTGATGGGAATTTCCGTCCTTTCCTCTGGAAGATCATAAATAATGACATTGTTTCTTCTGAGAGACATGTTCACTTCAATGTTTTTTATCTGTAGTTCGCGCATTCCGCCTATCAATTCCGGTCTTTTCTCCATTTTTTCTTTCAAATCCGAAAAATCGTTGTTGATTTTTTCGATCTTTTCTTCCATTTTCGTCGATAGCTCTCCGAAACTACCTTCCAAATTTGCTTGTAGTGTTTTTATTTCATTAAGTTCAGGCCTGAGAGCTTCTAAAAGTTCTTTGACAAGCGTATTTCTTGAAGATTCTGCCATGTTAGTTTTTTCAGCGACTGGATTTGCCGACGCCATATTTGATTGTTCTTTGTTTACATTGTCAACCGATTCTAAATTATTTTCTTCTTTGTTTTTTGTCTCTGAAACGGCCGAAGCGTGTTGTTTTAGGAAGAATCTTGTGATTCTCCGATTGCTGTCTTTTTTTGGCAGTTTAATACCTGGTTTATTGTCCCTTTTTGGCATTTATTTAGCTTATATACGGGAGCCCCGAAAAGTCTGACTTCCCTTTATCTCCTCTCCATGGCAACGTATATGAATCTACACAAAGACATGAACCACTGTCTTCATAATGCTATCCACCAGTTATTAAAAATTTGAAATACATATGACAGTAATGTAATGTATGACAGTAAGTAGAAAACTACTTAAAAAGTTGTTGATGTTAAAGTTTATCCAAGTGTTTCAATTTGTACATCTCAAAGAATTAAGCCAAATATACATAAATATAACATAAAATGTAAAAAAATGCGAAATTGGTGCTTCATCTTAAATGACTGTAAAAATTTGAAAATTAAAATTCAAGCAAATCAAAAAAATCTGAGTGTTGGAAAGTGTTTATAGTTTGTCCATGTGAAATTTCATCATGATTCAATAAGGGGAAAGTGTTCAAAACAAGTTTTAAAGTTTGTGACTAATTAGTGTGTGGGGTACTATGATATATTCGCGAAATACATGTTCTGCTATTTACATAACATAGTTTAGTCCTACTTGTTTACAATACACTATGCATGCTTGTTGTCTTTCCACGAGTTTATAGTATTACAAATGTTGAATTGTCTTCCTTTGTTTATATTACTTTCATGAGACAAAGATGGGTCCGACATGATAATTGTCATCATTCTTTGTATTGTTGATCCTTTCTGAGTTTAGACAATTTATAAGTCAGAAACGAAGATACATATTGATCAGAATCTAGTATTGCCGTTCCCGTTTGGTGGTATCGGCGTGTCAACTTGGATGTACACGGTCCCACATGTTACTCCCTGCGAGGACTGACTTTGTCTCCTCTTGGTCCGCATACCCCAAGTTTTGATATCACGCAACATACTCATCATTGCTTCCTTGACGTCATGATGTCCAACTCCATAGATGATGGGATCCGAAATGAAGTTCACGAAGGGGAGAAAATAAACGAACCGATAATAAACGTCCATAAATGTGGTATCATCATTCTCAACCACACGCCTGTCTTTTTCAATGATCATTCTAATAACGACGAAGGGCAAGAAACAGATTACCAGAGAAACTGTAAGAATGACTGTCGTGACCATAGCTTTTCTATCGCGTCTAATCCCTCTCCTGTCTACAGTAACGGGGCCCTCCAGGCTAAGGATCCTGTGCACCTCGAAATAGATCTTCACATAGAAGATAGGTATGATGACAAGTAGAGTGAGAATCAGAACCAGCCACGTGTACAAGAGGTTCATCAACAGTTCACGTGAGATCAACTTTTCATCCTTCAGTTTATAAAATACGAGAGGGACCAGGGATATTCCCCATATACATAGCAACACTAAGCCACAAAGACATTTTGTTGTCTCAATACTTCTTCGTCCTGTTGTGCCATCTTCCCCGATACCAATGGAACTACCGAAGTAGCTGTGATATGTAAACGGTCGGAAGATTGCCAGAAACCGGAGCAACGCAAAGGAAAAGATCGTCATGGCGGTAGCACAAAGAACACATTGGAACATTCTGACGTTGAACTTTAAAAGGTCACAATTCTGCTCATAGATAGTAGCCATTGGGTACATCCAGTTTGCAATCGATCCCAAGACAGTCGAAAGCGAGAGATTCAGAAAGAGAATGTGATGGATGGTGAACCTCTTCAAAGTGATCTTCCTGAAGATCGCAATTACCCATGCAACGTTGATGATAAATGAGACCTAAGAATATACTGGAAAGAGTTATCATATATGTACACGGGATAGCAGATGAACAAAGACTTTCGTCGAGCATGTCGAATATCATTGTTTCCAGCCATGTTGCATTGAATAAGTATCTAAATGTTGGTGTCGTAGTAGTTATATTATCCATGTTGACAAAACCTGTCGATCGCATCACATATCAATGGTTGGTTCCAAGTGTATCGCACAAGTCAAATGTTTCGATGTTTTGTATGTTGGTGATATCTAATATCCGCAAGATGTTTTTGTTTACAATTTCACTTTTAACGGCTGGATGTGAGTGAAATTCCAACGTACGATTGTCGATACTGATATAATATTTTATCGAGTTGTGTAATTTTGGTAAATCAACACCATGTTAGATCTGCATGCGAATTTCAGTCGGTAGTTTTCGGATACTGTGATGAACTATTTCGTTCATGTTGGTCAACAGCTGTGTATGACAAATTGCCGGATAATGTTGGTTTCAGAAATTACTTCTTCGTGTTTATTTCATTTTCCAGCGTTGTACATCTTCGTCAAGCACTTGCAATAATGATTAATGTGAGCTAGAATGTTATGTATAATCAAAGCCAACGGGTTATCATTAAAGTTTTGCCCTTGCTACAAGCCTGCAGCTTTATCTTTAGGCTATTAAATGTCTGTTTTATTTTATATGACTGCAGTATGTAACCGATACGATTACCCAATGATAGGGCCTTCTAGTTCCCTAGCTTGCTATTGTTTTCTTTAAATACAATCTATCATTCTAGAACTGGTCAGCGGCAGGATACGCTGACGCCCGTTACCCATTTTGAAAATGTCGGACAGGAATGGACGATTTGTGTGTTTTCATTGAAACAAAGTACTTGCCTGGGGATTTAGCACTACATTCATGGGGTACTATATTCTCACTTGTTTCAGAAAAAGACTAACGTTTTTGTGGGTACCATAAAGGTAACTGAGTCTTAAGTCTTAATTGGTGATGTGCCAAATCAATGCTCCCCGGTTTTGGATAACTGCTTCAACTTAACGCGAATGTTGAAGTTGTTCACTGGTCGTTCCAGCATACCTGGGGGTGTTTTGTAAATCTAAAGGATTTTTTATTTTAAGGAAAAATTGTCATACACCCCTAGTATTGTATTGCATTCTTTATTTACCTCTTGTATGAAAGAGTTACAATTGTACATAAATTGTAAATTAATACATAAATAAGGAAGTAGATATATTATTTGCTCATGTTTATGTTATGAGCGAGGTTGTGAGCATTGAATAAATTATTACAACAGCTTGCAATGCAAGGTCGTCGTTTGTACAATTCAAGATCAAAATTGATGCGATCTTTAACACTAGTTGTATCGTTATATTTACAGATTTCGTTTAATGCGTACCCTTTCTTGACCGTACATCTCGCAATGGCAAAGAAAATGTTCGATTGATGCTATTTCATTTAAGTTGCAGACATTGCACATTCGACCATTTTCTTTTGCTATATCCCACTTTTTGTGACCGTTTAGATCTAATTGACCAGTCATTAACTTCACAACAGTTGTAACTTGTTTTTTTCAATCGTGGCATCCTTTGAACATACCAGCTATTTAGAATTAGACATGAGTGACCATTGATAAAATAACTTAAAGCTTAATATAACATGCATTTTATTCGAAACATAGATTGTAGGTCTATATATAGTATGATGCTTGACATGTATGACAAAAATGAAGAAAAAAATCTGAATCCGTTGCTATAGTAACAGTAACAGAACACTTATTACCGTAGAGATGCATTATTTTACTGATTTTCCACATTTCTTTATATTCTTGATTCTTTAACTAATAGTATTACACTAGTATATGGGACACTGCATATTTTATATATAGTATAACATATTAAACATATTAAATGAAATCTAATGAATCCATACAGTAGTGAGGTTGGGATATAGTCTAGTCTTTGGCATAATGTCTTAACATTATAACCTGAGCAATCAGACTTCTTTGGTGGTTATCTTGCAGAAGTACAATTCTATGTAAGTTTAATATTTAGAACATGCATCAAAATGAAATCTAATGTAATCATACAATAGAGAGGTTGGCATAGTCTAGATTTTGGCATAATGTCTACCTTTTATAAGCATTGGCTTTTCTCACCAGAGCAGACTACTGGGGGCCCTGTAAAGCTTCTGGGGGCCACTGGGGGCCATCGTATAGCTTTTAAAGGCACTGTGACATTGGATTCAATTGAATTTAATGGCCGTGAAACATTTCAGATTGACAACATAGTGATTTTTTGTCAGTGAAAATTTGGGCTATCTTCTGGGGGCCACAAGGGGCCATCTGGGGGCCACTGGGGGCCATCGTATAGCTTTTAAAGGCACTGTGACTATTTGATTTAACATTGGATTCAATTGGACATTTTCTTTAACAGCGAAATTTAATGGCCATGAAACATTTCAGATTGACAACATAGTGAATTTTTTTGTCAGTAAAAATTTGAGCTTACTTCTGGGGGCCACTGGGGGCCCCTGTATAGCTTCGGGGGCCATCATATAGCTTTTTTGGGCCACTAGAGGCCCCTGTCATAGCTTCTGGGGGCTCTTGTATAGCTTCTTGGGGACATTGGGGGGCCACCAAATAGTTTTCGGGGGCCAACATATAGCTTTTGGGGGCCACCGTATAGCTTCCGGGGGCCACTTTAATGGCCATGAAACATTTCAGATTGACAACATAGTGAACTTTTTTGTCAGTGAAAATTTGGGCTTAATTCTGGGGGCCATTGGGGGCCCTGTATAGCTTCTGGGGCCACCGTATAGCTTTTTTGGGCCACTAGGGGCCCCTGTATAGCTTCTGGGGGCTCCTGTATAGTTTCTTGGGGCCATGTGGGGCCACCGTACAGCTTCTGGGGGCTACCATATAGCTTCTGGCGGCCACTGGGGGCCACGGTATAGCTTCTGGGCCATCATAGCTTCTTGGGCCCATTAAGGGCCCCTGTATAGCTTCTGGGGGCCACTGTAAAGCTTCTTGGAGCCACTGGGGGCCACCATATAGCTTCTGGGGGCTACTAGGGGCTCCTTATAGCTTCTGGGGGCCACCATATAGCTTGCTGGGGCCACCGTATAGCTTTAGGGGGGCACTAGTGGCCCACCCTATAGCTACATTTAGTTGAAAGACAGAATATGAGCCATAAAATGTTAATACTTTTCATTTTAATCATAATTATTTGCTTTTTGTAATTGAATATAGAAAATGACCTTCCACGTATTTTCTAATACTAATGCTGTAATGAAACTTATTTTTTCAGTTATGACTGCATCTTTGAACGTTGGATGAGACTGCTACAGGGGAACGCCCATATTTTAGAGCTGCATCTTGCAGTCCTGGTCTACAATAATTAGGTACATTTCTAACTAGTCTAGTTCACAAGGAATTACCAGTTTTGATTTTAAAAAGAAAGTAACAAGGAACATCCTTTATAAGAACATAAAAATGAATTGCTTTATATCGAATAAGATGAGCAAAAAATTGTAGGTGTTTTTCTTTAATTTTCTTCAACTCTGCATAGGCCAAAATAGGCCAAAGTTAATAGGCCAAAGTTGTCAATAGGGAACCTCCCTGGAATATTTAGAAAGTGAACGCCCTCCCCCCTTAGCAAAGGCTTGCTAAGGCCCCTCTGCCCGTTGATGAGATATAGGGTAAACTCTTATAATGGTCAGCTATGGGAATCACTTCCCCAGATTCCAACTTGTTCAATTCATCCATTCCCGGTAAA